GGAGCATTTCATGATACCAGACTAGTGGCAGTGGCTGTGCCTGGGGACCCCCGGGAATGTGGGGTGGTGGCGGTAGGTAAACGTCTGGGGGAGTCTCACCGTGCAGCAGCCAGGCCAGGAAGGACCCCCATGGGCTCCCCTGGTCTGGCTGAGTTTCCCCACGAAACAGCTTCCCAGGTACTCCGTGTCCGCAGACTGGAGCTGTCTGCCCGTTTTGCTAATCATCCACCGCCTTTGGCTCCTTGCTCGGCTGCTGGTGGGCAGTGTCTGGTTTGGGGTGGGCGATTCCTATCTTCAAAGTCTGGGATCAGGATGCCCATGTTTCGGTGAACAGCGTGTACCCTTGATGTCTGGCCAGGGAGGAGGACCAAACATGCCAGAGGGGACGTTGTGTGGGGCTACTTGTCCCGCATCTGTGCCACTTTCAACTTCGAACACTGGTGCTCCTGTGTTCACTTCTGCCTCCTGCTGTGACCGCTGACCATCCCAGCTGCCGGGAGTGCTCAGGAGGTAGAGTTAAATGCGGTGGTAAGGAGGTGAATGGCATCTCCCTGTCTCCTCTGCTGTGTTCCAAGACCCGAGGCACTAGAAGTAGTGTTACCTGTGAACTAATGCAGCCCTTTTTCACACCCTCAGTTGTCCTAGGTAGCCCGGGTCCCGCAGAAGCATGCACCGGCTCCGCGCTGATGGGCAGCGCTCAGCGGAGCGCAGGATTGTGCTGCACGAGGGGCCGCTCTTCCTCAGGGCAGCTCAATGATCCCCCACAGCGAAGGCAAGAACCAAAGAGAACGCCGTGGATTTCTCCTCCATGGGCCACCGAGTCACAGCGTCACGCTCACAGCTTCCCTTCCTACCTCCTCTCCCTGAGCATTCAGCTCTTTGAAGGTTTCTGGATGTTTTGACCACTAGCTAAACAGGGAAAAGGGTGAGGTGATCAACACCCCCTTCTATGCAACAACCCTGTGCTTCTCCCCCACCCACCCAGCCCTCAAGTTAGAGAACACAGATGTCAAAAGTTTTCCTTTCTCTAATAGCAAAAATTTTTTTTAAGTTTCTTTTTATTTATTTATTTTTTTTTCCAAATTCTGTGGGTACAAATATTGTTAGGGTTACATATCTTGCCCCTGCCCCCCTCGCCATCCCGCTCTGCCAGAGCTTCAAGCGTGTCCAGTCTTTAAGTGGTTCGCCGTGCACCCACCATGAAAGTGCGTACCCTTCCCCTTCTCCCCCCTTCCACCTGTTCACCTCCCATTAACAAAATTTTTTTTTTTTGACATTTTGGTTACAGTGTGTTTCTTTGCTTCTCTTTAAAAAGGGATAGAGGTAATCCTTTCCCCCCTACAATGCTCATCACATCCTTATGATGTGGGTCTCCCCACCTCAGATCCCTGTTGAACACTACAATTATTTGAACACCATAGTTTTAGGCTGTCAGTACCAATTTGATGGCGAGAAATTGAAGCTCTGCTAATCAGGAGAAAACTGAGACTGGAATACTGATCTCTCTATTTCCGGTCAATTTTTTGTTTTCCATTTTAAAAACTAACCTTCCTGAAGCTGAATTTCTACAACAAAATGTTAACAATGGTTAATGTCAGGTTATGAGATTACAAGTGCTTACTTTTCTCTCATTTTTTGCTTGTGTATTTTCCCCCAAATTTTCCTATAAAGGTTATGTACTAGTTTTGCATAATTTTGGGGTGAACTCTCTGCTCTAACAAACGAATGCAATAGTTTCAATTCCTTAACTAGAAAAAGTTAATTTCTTGCCCATATACAGTCCAACATGAGTGATTCTGATCAGAGTATAGGTCCCACAAGAAGTAATCCAGGAAACCTATTCTAACATCTTGGGGCTCTTCCATCTTTAACAACATATGACATTTAAGCAAGCTGAGATGTTCTGTATATAGAAAGCCAGAAGAAAGGAAAGTATCGTGGAAGAGTTGTGAGGGAGAATTTTATGAGTGAGACCAGAAAGTTTTATATATCACTTTCATTCATCCACTGGCCAGAGCTATGTTGCAAGGCTGCATCTAGCTGCAAGGCAGGATGGGAAATGTAGTCTCTTGGTACACAAAAGAAGAAAAAGAAATGAATTCTGTTCATTGCTAGCCAGTCTATGCCACACTTGTATTAAAAAAAGAAAAAGAAAGTTGAAGTTTAAATGGGATAAGGAAGGGAAGTCTCTTCCTTAAGCTGTCTCTCCAATAGCATTTTCACATTTAAATCCCCACTCTCCCTCTGGCAAAAGATGGTCTCTAGAATTTTCCTGATATAGTCGTGTGTTGCTTAAGGACAGAGATGCATCTGAGAAATGCATCCTTAGGCAATTTCATTGTTGTGCAAACATTTTAGAGTGTACTTACACAAACCTACAGGGTATAGCCTACTACACACCTAGGCTACATAGCCTATTGCTCCCAGGCTACAAACCTGTACAGCATGTTATTGTACTGAATACCATAGGCAATTGGAATGCAAAGGTAATATTTGTGTATGTAAACACAGAAAGGTACAGTAAAAATATGGTATAAAAGATTAAAACTGGTACATGTGTATAGGGCACTTACCGTGAATGGAGTCTGCAGGACTGCAAGTTGTTCTGGGTGAGTCAGTGGGTGGGCAGGGAATGAACATGAGAGCCCAGGACATGACTGCACGGTTCCATACAACTGGCTGTGCGGTAGGTTTGTTTACCCAGTGTCATCACAAACATGTGAGTAATGCATTCTGCTACGACATTAAGATGGCGATGATGTCACTAGATAATAGGAATTTTCTGGCTCTATTATAATCTTATGGGACCACAGTTGTATATATGGTCCATTATTGACTGAAATGTCATTATGTGGGGCATGATTATATTCACTAGGTGCAGGAAATACGTGGATGGCATGAGATTAAGTGAGTAGATACTTGGCCGGGAGTGAGGGCTCAGAGGCAGTGCTGTGACCCGGGTGTCAGCTCTCCTCCTCCCCACGGGGGGCGCTGTCAGCACACAGGAACTGCCTCTCTGCCCCACGGCACTGCTTGTAGAGTGAGCACAGAGAATTATACAGAAGACTGAATCACCAAGGCTCCCATGCTGAGGAACTTCCTCCTCTCCCCTCAGCCTCCTACTGCAGGTTCCCTCTGCAGTATGCTCAGAGCCATTTGTGTGCCCAGGGATGTCTCACACTCCCTATAATTTCTTCTCCATCATACTCTCTAAATGAAGAATTTCATATATTTTGACTATTAACTCCTTACCAGACATATGGTATTTTAGTCCATTTTCTGTTGGTTACAACGAAATACTTGAAACTGGGTAATTTATAAAGAAAAGGAATATACTCCTTATAGCTAATGGAGGCTGGGAAGTCCAATATTGAGGGGCTGCATCTGCTCAGAGCTTTCTTACTGGTGGGGACTCCCTGCAGAGTCCTGAATTGGTACAGGGCAACATATGTCAAGGGGGCTGTGTGTGATAGCTCAAGTCACTCTTTTTCTTCTTATAAAGCCACCAGTCTCACAGTCAATAAGCCATTAATTCACTAACCCATTAATCCATCAATCCATAAATGGATTGGATTAATCCATTCATAAAGACAGAGTCCTCATGCCCAATCACCTCTTAAAGGTTCTAGCTCTCAATACCGCCACATTGGGGAATAAATTTCAACATGTGTTTTAGAATGGACAAATATTGAAACAATAGCAGATAGTTTGCAAATATTTTTTCCCATCCTATAGGTTGCTTTTTCTTTTTGTTGATTGCTTCTTTTGCTGCACAGAAACTTTTTAACTTGATATAGTCCCACTTGTTTATTTTTGTTTTTGTCACCTGTGCTTTTGGTGTCATATCTAAAAAAATCATTGCCAAGACCAATGTCAAGGAGCTTTCCCCCTAAGTTTTCCTATAGTAGTTATGATTTCAGGTCTTATATTTAAGTCTTTGATATATTTTGAGTTAATTTTTGTATATGGTGTAAGATGAGGGTCCAGTTTCATTTGTTTGCACATGGATATCCACTTTTCCTGAAGCCATTTATTGAAGAGACTATCTTGGGTACAATCCCTCCTATGCAGCTGTCTATCACCCAGTGTCTAGGATTCTTTGTGCCTCTATGTGTTAGACACATCGCACATGATAATTAAAGAGAGAATAAAGTTGAGGAACTCATTCACATTGAAATATAAGCAGCTCATTGGATTTATTGGTCTTAATATAGCTGCATTTTAATAAGAAATTACACCTTAACATCCCAAAATTGACCTCAAAAGGTAGCTTTTCAGGTTTTTCTACTGTCCAGTGGAAAGAGAATTGGGGGCAGGTGAGCAGCTTTCTAAATCTGTTACAAAAAAATGAAGAGGCCAAGTAAGAACTCAGTATCTATACATATGAACATACACCCAAATGTTTATGAAAGTCTATGTCCAGGAAGAATATATTTGCTCTCAGTGTATGACCTAAGATATGAGTAAGGAGTCTTAAAGGATGCACAAAAATTTGTGGGTAACCTGGGCCTTCTCTGAATAATCTCCATGCTCAGGCACCTCTACCCTTCTCCTCTGCACACTGGATAGGAGCAGAAGGAAGCAAGCCATGAGAGAGAGGGAGAAGGGTGACCAGAAGCTCCTCAAGGGTCCCAAAGCACATATTCCCACAGGTGCATGCTAAAAAGTACTTACTTTCCTCCCTTAAAGTTAGTTAGTTCCCAGTGTGCTACAATGGAATGGAACAATGAGACCCACTTCACCAACAGCCTAGGCTCCTATCCAGAACTTTTCATTGTGTGGGAGAGCAGTGGGTAAAGGGAGATGATAAAAGTAGGTAGAAGTTAGCTCTGTATATATAGCCCAAAATGTGAGAAGCCCATGAGGGAGAGGAGGGCAGACAGGTCTTGAGTTTCATTCTTCACTCCGTAGTCAGACAGACCTCTAGTTTCATGGGGAAGTTCAATGGTCATTTTTACCCAGGGTTATATCTGTTCTCTTATGGACTGTATCAAGCGACAGTGGTCTTCAAGGCCATGATAGTTAAAGACTCTCTCGTGTATCCTTCATGCCTTCCCCAAAATAAGACAAGATTGGCCAGGCTGTGGAAAGTATCCTATGAAGGCTGGTTGAAGATAGTGACTGGCTCCATCTTAACGGCTTATGTGATCATTTGTCTTGATGATGGGATGGTGCTGATGAGCAAGCAGGTGCCACCAAGGTTTATGTACCCCAAAGAGTGGCAGCACCTCACCATGTTCATCCTCCTCATCCTCAATGGCTGTGTAGATGTCATGAACAAGAACTTGCTACCTCAGAGGAATGTGGTCCTGGAAAAAGGAACCCTGGTCCTGAGCTTCTATGAGCTCCTGCTGCTGATGGTGTCACATATTCACGGTTCATCAGGGGTGGAGCTGCAAGTCCACTCTCTGCTCATCTTGGTGGTGTTCCTGCTGATGCTGGTGCTGACCGCACAGCTGTGGGCTCCCGACATGTTTCACCTTTGGGTGATGGAGACCTTTCTGTTTCTGATGATGGGCTCCTGGTTGATGCAAGTGGGCTTTATTCTATACAGACCCATCTCCGGCTACCCATGGCAGGACAATAACATCAATGACATCATGTTTGTCACCACCTTCTTCTGCTGGCATTTGATTATGGATGCCTTTTGCCTGTTGGGAATCTATGGCTTCTCTTCCTGTTGGCATCATTGTTACAGTCCCAACTTGAATCTGACGACATCCAAAGGAGCTCCACAGCACACAAGCACTTCAGGACCCCTCTACAAGTTGCTACAGGAAGTGGAGCAGTCAGAGAACGATGACCAGGCTCTCCTTTCAACGAGCTCCACCTGAGACAGGGCCTACAATGCCCGCACATAGTGCACCCCATCTTCCCCTGTGGGTTCTCTCAGCCATGTGCATGGCACCCTTTTTGGTCCCCAGTGAAGGTAATGGCCCTGCAGGACAGCAGATGGTCCCAAGTGTTGTTCCTGTCACTAAGTCTCTAGTTGCTGCAGAGGGAGAGTAGAACCTAAGAAAATGACATGGGTGAGATTATGCGGATGATAGGAAGTGGGAGAGCAGGAAGAGGCCCAAGGGAGTAGGTATGTGTACAAAAATAGCCCTGGTGGGAGAGAACAATAGAAGGGAGGCCTTTGCTGGGAGAAGCACAGAGTCTAGCAGCAATGCCGTCACTAGCTGCCTCTCCAGGGTTTTACTCGAGGAATAAAGACTTCTCACACATACAAAAAATTGCAATTGTCAGTATTTCTGTTGCCCAACTAAAGTGACATCAACATGAGGAAACAGCATAAACTGATATAGTACAATGCACTTACCCACCTGCTTGAAATTGTAAGAATCTCGTATATATGTGCTTAGGCATTTAATTTGTGTGGATTAGCATAGTTGCATATTTTGCACATAAAGTGAGAATTAAAACTTTATAGCAGCTTTTCAAATTTCCATAAATCAAATTTTCAGAAAATGCCACCACACTTCTTATTCCTGATCTCTTTCCAGCCAAAGCAAAGTGATGAACTACTTGTTTAACCACTATTACATTCACAGGCAATTTCCTAGATCCCATTGACTATATCCTACACAAAACTCACTGTCACACTTTTACTACACAGTGTCATCTTATACCTGGCTTTGAACCCTCTTGCACTTGTCCCTCCAAGAAGTCCTCCTCCAGAAAATTCTCATGTACTCCTTGGGGTCTGGAGCTCTTCAGCAGCTCATCTGAATCTGCTTTGTTATTTTGCCCACGCCAGTGATACATTCTTTGTTCTGTATCTCATATTGTTTCTCTTGGGGAGCTTTTCCTTCACCAACTAAAAGTAGGCACCTTTAAGAGCAGGGAATTTATCATATCCTAGTTATCTAATTTTCTTTGCATCTTTCAGAAGAATAGAACATGGTCCTCCACACAGTTGATGCCTAATAAAGGTATAGAGTCTCCCTTTCCTGTCTCTTCCAATGCAATATGCCTGACTGGTCTGTGAACTGTCAGAGAGACATCAACATTCTAAAGCCTGAATCATATAAGTAACAGAACTGTGTGTAAATGAAATGCCACTGACTTATTAAGAACTGCTCACTCTGTATATCATCTTTAACTTTACCGATATGGGGTATGCCCTGTTGGCTTTCCAGAAGTTTCCATTTTACATATGAAAACCTGAAGACTTCAACAGGTGAATTTGCCTAAAGACTCATTGCTGGTCAGAAACAGGACAGGGTCCTGAGCTGGTAGGTCTGACCGTCAAGCCCCTGCTTCTGTTGTTTGGCCTCCACTGACTTCTCTGCAGAGAAAAGAGGTGTGGCTGATTCAAAAAACAAGATGAGCAGAAAATAGGTGACAAGGAGACCCTGTGCACATAAATAGAACAGTGCGATTATTCCCAGGCTTCCTAAAGAATTTGTGTACATCACAGCTTCCGTCTCCACCCCCAGCTCCCCTGGGCTGATGGGCTTCCATACTCCTGCCTAGCTCGGGCGCAGGTCATAGGACAATCTGGGACAAGATATTTCTAATCCTTCTCGTTTCTCCTGCCATATCTAGTTCCTAGGCTCTTTCCTATTATATGTCATCTGAGTTCCAATTGTTTTATTGCCATTCTTGAATACAGTCATAGTGAATGATGAAGAAATGCAGAAAACACTTCTTCATTGCTCTTAACGAGTCATTTGTACCCCAGTTCTAAGCAAATCTGCTAAGCAAATCTCTGATAATGAAATTCTTTTAGCCTAATATCTCATAAAATACATCTTCCATGTAATATATCTACATTCACTGAAAGATATTGAAATTAAATGAAAATAAAATTCCAATTTAATAAAACTCAGCATATCAACTCTACAAAATATATCTGGGAAAGAAACATTGAGAAGAATCCAGGACTAATTGAGCAAACAAGTACCATAACCCAGAAATCAACACAGTGCAGTGTAACAGAGGGTCCAGACACAGAAATATGAATGCAATAATTATTTTATTTTATTTTTTTCCTTCTTTCTTTCCTTCTTCCTCCTTCCTTCCTTCCTTCCTTTCCGTTCCTTCCTTCCTCTCGCTTCCTTCCGTTCCTTCCTTCTTCCTTCCTTCCTTCCTTCCTTCTTTCTTTCTCTCTCTTCTTTCTTTCTTCTTTCTTTCTTTCTTTTCTTTCTTTCTTTCTGTTTCTTTCTTTCTTTCTTTCTTTGACAGTGTCTCACTCTGTTGCCCAGCTAGAGTGCTGTGGTGTCAGCCTAGCTCACAGCAACCTCAAACTCCTGGGCTCAAGAATTCCTCTTGCCTCAGACTCCCTAACAGCTGGGACTACAGGCATGCTCCACATTGCCTGGCTAATTTTTTCTATATATTTTTAGTTGGCCAATTAATTTCTTTGTATTTTTTTAGTAGAGACGGGGTCTCGCTCTTGCTCAGGCTGGTCTCAAACTCCTGACCTTGAGCGATCCTCCCACCTCAGCCTCCCAGAGTGCTAGAATTACAGGCGTGAGGAGGTATAAAGCTCACATATTTTGAAGAGGACAATTATGAGCCGGTATGCCAGGAGAAATCAAGGATGTATGTCCTTTTAAACTGATAAATTAGAATGTTTTTATCCATCTCTTATAAGCCTTGTTTTGGTAAGTCAGTGATTGACCCTAAGGCTGGGAACCCTTACTTGAAATAAGATGACAGTTTGGGAGCACAGACAGATGAGTTGTCTCTGCCATTGTGCTGACTGCCACAGATCCACTGTCTGTCTGTACCTCTCAGGCCTCCAGCCTTCTGGCCTTCTCCCCTGGGATGTATTTAGCCTTGCAGCAAGGTGAGCTGCACTTGTTGTTAATGATTGTGAAGATGCCCCCTCTATTTAGAAAGGAGTTATTAATTTAACTTTTGGAAAGCAGCATACTAAGATCTCACAGTCATTAAGAAGTTTATAGTGTTGCTCTCTAGACGCTATTTCCGACAAGCTTCTACCTCTTCAATGAAAGGTTTTTTCACTAAAACTTTAAAATATGTATTTCCCTCAACATGTCATTGTATACTGTCCAAAACTGGCCAATGCAATATGGTAGCTATTAATGACATGTGGGTATTAACAACTGTTATATGGCTTGTCTGAATTGAGATGTGCTGTAGGTGTAAAATACATACTAAGTCTATATGAAATATATCATTTACAATACTTCATAATTCTTATATTAATTCCATGTGAAAATAATATTTTGGATGCATTGAATTAAATATTACTATATTACTACATTAAAATTAATTTCACTTAATGTGGCTAATTGGAAAAGTTAAATTCACATATGTGGCATTATGTTTCTATGGGACCGAGGTAGCGTAAATAGTACTCTAATGTGCATGTGTGTATGTGTGTGTGTGTGTGTGTGTGTGTGTGTACAAGTGTAGAGCTATTGCACCCTCAACTAAATTGCAAGTTCTCTGAGGGTAAGCACTCTATCACTCACTTCTTTCCAGGCCTTGAGGCACTCAGCAGGATCCATGGCAGGTAGGAAATTCAAGTTGACTGGGCTCCCGATGACCTTGCTCACTCTGGCTTGCATGATGCCAGACAAGTGGCAGTGGCTATGCCTAGGGCCCTTGGGAATTTGCAGTAATGGTGGGGCACGTCTGGGGAAGTCTCGCCGTGGAGCAGCCAGGCCATGAAGGACCTCCGTGGGCTGCCATGGTCAAGCTGATATTTCCCCATGAAACACTTTTCCAGGTCCTCCATGTCCCCAGACTGGAGCTGTCTGCCACTTCTGCTAATCATTCACCATCTTTGGCTTCTTGCTCAACTGCTTGTGGGCTGTGGCAGGTTTGGGATGGGCGATTCCTATCTTCAAAGCCCTGGCATCAGGATGTTCATGTTTCAATGAACAACATGTGCCCTGATGTCCAGCCAAGGCGGGGGCCTGAACACCCCCCAGGGACCGCAAGTGGGCTCCATGTCCTACATCCGTGCCACATTCCACCCCCCACTGCTGTGGGGTTGGTGCTGCTGTTCTCCCTCCTCTCCTGGCCACAGCTGCCAGGAACGGCTGTGGAAATGAGGGTGGGAGCCGGACTAAGCTCTGCCGCCCCCCTCTCACGTGGACCACAGTTCCGAGGCACCAGAAACAAAATTAAGAGCGACCAAATGCAGCTCTTCTTGAGGCAGGCAGGCCACGGACCCTCTGGCCTGGCCCTGCTGATACCCAGGAGAGCGATGGACACCGTGCTTCTCCCACAGCAAATCCAAGATCCAAGGAGGGTCCCTGATTCTTTTCAGCAGTGTCACTCTCTGTTTGCCCTTTGAATTTCCTGCCTCTGAGCATTCAGCTCCACGGTGCCTTTCAGGTATTTTGATATTTCACCAAAAGGCAGAAAGGGACAGGACACAAACATGCTCACTCTGTATAGCAATATCCTTGCCTTTGTAATTTCACTTTCCAGAAAATTAAGTCCAACAATCACTTTTTTACATACAGGTAGATTGGATTCAGCAAATCAACAGAGAACTAGGACTAGACTCTAGATTCTGACTTCCAGTCGATGTATTTTCTACTTCCTCATGGCATCTTAAGACTGTGTCTCTACACCTCACCGGCGGCAACTGTCACCTCCCTCCATCCAGCCTGTGAGATTACAGATGATTTTTAATGGTCTTTTTTGCTTGTATAGTCTACATGGGATTTTTCTACAATGACTATGCATGAATTGCCTAAAAAGCCTAAAATTTAAAATTACATAAGCATAGTAGATTCCTTCAGAAAGCAGAATTAAGCTTGCTGTTTCTAACTTGCCTTGACACTCAACTCCCCAACTCCACTAAATCTCCCAATAACAAGAAGTGATCTGAAATACTATCATCCTCGAGGGCAGAGAAAGTTGTTTAATTTTGCTGGCATTGAGTGGGCTTGAGAAACAGCGGGTATTTGGACGGGAGTGGGGGCTCAGAGGCAGTGTTGAGCCTAGGGTGTCAGCTCTCCTCCTCCCCACTGGGGGCGCTGTCAGCACACCAGAGCTGCCTCTCTGCCCCACCGCACTGCTTGTAGAGTGAGCTCAGAGGACTGTGCAGAAGACTGAAGTCACCAAGGCTCCCGTGCTGAGGAACTTCCTCCTCTCCCCTCGGCACACCCATCAGCTGCAGAGAAACTCCTACTCCGGGTTCCCTCTGCAGTATGCCCAGAGCCATCTGTGTGCCCGGGGATGTCTCACACTCCCTGTACCTTCTCACCAGCGTCCCCTCTGCCTTATGCTCACCTTGCTGGTCTCAATCCCTAGAACTCTGTCTGGCCAGGTGCAGGGGACACTCATTAAGTGAATAGTTGGGATGTGAAGCTGCTGGGCTCTTTCACATGAAAATACAAATGTCCAATACCAGCTCACTGGAGTTCGCCCTCTCAGTGGTGTCTACGTTTTAAGGACTAGAGCTTAATTCCCTGCATCACTTAGGGGTGGATCATGGAATCAGAGTGATACAGAATGAGTGATACGGGATATAAATTTTTCATAGAAAGATCTTACACATTTGTGGGATCAAGTGACCTACCCTAAGAAAGGCTATGGCTCTGTGCAATAGCAGTATGGGGGTTCTGGGGTCATTGTAGGTCAATTTAGCAGCAGTCAGGAAGAAACATATTACATGAAGTAGGGAAGAGCAGGCACAAACTGAAATTACCAGCACAAACTGGGGCCCGTGTCTCCCTCTGCCCACCTCATTCCTCAATGGCAGGCAGCCTGTAGAAGAAGCTGGTGCCCTTCCCACCGAGAGGGGCTGGGGCCTGTAAGCCTGGCCACCGCTCACTGCCAGGGTGAGCGGGCAGATCCAAGGTAGAGCACGAGCCACAGTGGGCCTGGCACCCCACACTGCCACAGGGTACCTGGTGGCTGCTTCGCTTCCACCTTCAGATTCCCGCGAACATTCCACGTGTAGCCAAGCCTAACTGGGACCCAGGTAGGGAGGGCAACTCCGGGAAACAAGGTTCTAGCTTAGTCCCACTGGCACGCTACAAAATCACCACAGCCCCTGAAATCAATATCCAAACGCGGCTTTTCACATTCATCTTCTGGCCAGCAGAGATTCTGAAGTGGTGATGGTGGAGATGTGACAGGGTAAGGGCAGGGGTGAAGGCAGCTTTCTTGGTGGCCTTCATGATGTGTCTATCAAAGAAAAATTGAAAAAGCCCGATAGGTGCTCAATATGTATTACATGGCCACGGATCCAAATGTTCAGGATTATGTATCTGGACGTCACAACTGAATCAAAGTTGTGACCGAGAGGTGCTGAGGGGCACTCAAGAATTTACAAGTGGCAATGTTTTCTCTGGACACCATGGTAACCCACTCCGTTTGTCTCTCCTCTCCTCTGATCACTGTGCTGGACAGGAGGAAGGAAGCAGCGGGGGATAGGGGACAAATGTGACCAGAAGCACCCCAAGGGCCGGAAGAGGATCCCTGAAAACTGTTTATCTACCTCCTTTTTGGCAGAAGCCAGTTCGTTCCCAGTGTACCAGATGGATTTGAATAATAAAGCCATATTCCACCATGTGTGTAGGCTTTTCTAGAGAAACACTTCCTCTCTGTGGGGTAACAGTAGGTGGGGTGAGATGATAAAAGTATGTGGCAGGCAGTTCTTTCCAAACCCAGAATTTGAAGTGGCCCTAGGTGCAGCCTTGCCTGAATCTTGAGCTTTTCTCCTTCTTTAGACAGATCTGCAGTTCAATGGGAACCTTTGTAGGTCATGTCTATCCAGGGCTTTTTGTGTTCTTATATGGACTGTATCAGGCAACAGTGGTCTCCAAAGCTGTAATATTCAATGACTCTCTTCTGTATCCTTTGTACCCTACCAGGAATAAGGGAAGATGGGCCAGGATATGGAATATATGCTATGGAGGTTTACTGAAGATGGCGGCTGGCTCCCTCTTGATGGTTTATGAGATCAGCTGCATTAAAGGAGGCCTAACACTGATGAACAAGGCTGTGCCGCCAAGGTTTATGTACCCCAAAGAGTGGCAGCACCTCACCATGTTCATGCTCCTCACCGTCAATGGCTGTGTAGACATCATAAGCAGGCACGTTCTCCCTCAGAGGCATGTGGTCCTGGAAAAAGGAGCCCTGGTCCTGAGCTTCTACGAGCTCCTCCTGCTGATGGTGTCACATGTTAAGGACTCAGAAGGGGTGGAGCTGCAAGTCCACTCTCTGCTCATCTTGGTGGTGTTCCTGCTGGCGCTGGTGCTGACCGCACAGCTGTGGGCTCCCGGCACGTTTCAGCTCTGGGTGATGGAGACCTTTCTGTTTCTGACGATGGGCTCCTGGCTGATGCAGGCGGGCTTTATTCTATTCAGACCCATCTCCGGCTACCCCTGGCAAGACGATGACATCAGTGACATCATGTTTGTCACCACCTTCTTCTGCTGGCATTTGATGATCAATGCCTCATGCCTCTTGGGAATCTATGGCTTCTCCTATTTTTGGCATTGTTGTTACAGTCCCAACTTGAAGTTGATGACATCCAAAGAGGCTCCACAGCACACAAGCACTCCAGGACCCCTCTACAAGTTGCTGCAGGAAGAGGAGCACTCAGAGAAAGATGAGCAGGCTCTCCTCCTTTCACAGAGCTCCCCCTGAGACAGGGCCTACGATCCCCATACCTAGGGCGCCCCATCTTCCCCAGAGAAGGTAATGGCCCTAAGGAAGGCAGTTGGTCCCCACCTGCTGGTGCATTTCCTGTTCCTGACTCTAACTACTGAGGAGTTGAGAAGGTGCCCGAGAAAGAGCGGCTGACTGGATTTGGGGGGAGGGAGGGAAGAGGACCAGAGGTATAGATTAACGTGCAAGAAAGGCATGGGAGGAAACAATGGAAGAGAAGGAAGGGCTTTTGAAGGGGAAGAACAGAGTCAAGCAGTCATGCTGCCACCAGCTGCTTCTGCAGGCACAAGGGATTGCCTTCACCTGAGGGAATAAAGATTTCTCACAATTCAAAACTGAAACCATTCAAGTCTCATCCTGATAAAGAAAAGTGGATATTTTTATGTGCTCACCAAAGTGGTGCCACCATGTAGAAGGAGCATAACAAAATTTATAGTTAATTTGTGCACGTTGAAATTATGCTGTTTTTGTATCCCCTTCTCCCCCCAACTTTTAAGGATGGACTTCATTTCAATTTTACATATATAAATATGTGAGGCTTTTCATATACCTTAATAACAGCAAATTTGCATAACTTAAATATTTATAGAATTCAAATGGTCAGTACTTTCCCAACTTCACATTTTATTACTCTCACTCTAGGCAAAGCATACCTTTTTCACCATCCCCATCCTTGAGCATGCAATTTTTTTAGATCTTATCCTTGGGTCTTTGCAAAAGTCTCCCTTGCCTGTCCCAGAAAGCTATCCTACAATCCCATTTTTACCATGTTATTAGATACCCAGTATAGAACCCACCTCTCCCTCCACCCTACCGAGTATCCCCAAGGCGCCTTCTCCAAGAACTCTTATCTACTCCTCTGTTTTGGAACACTTAGGAACTTATATTAAATCTGCCCTATTATTTTGCCCATACCGGTGACACATTTTGCTTTGTGCTGTTTCTGAAATCATTTCCCTTAGAAAGATTTTTCCTCACCAACTAATGCGTAGGCTCCTAAAGGGTAAAGAGTTTGCCATATCCAAGTTACACAGTTTCCTACGTATGCTGCCACTGTGTGCCCTAGTCGATGCTTAATAAAGGCTTCTTTGCTTCTAGAATCTCTCCTTGCCTCTGTTTCTTCTAAATGTGTTGCCCGACAGGTCAGAGGTTTTGTGAGCCTCTGGGCAACACCACCAGTCCTAAACACTGAGTCATCTTCCTTAGTAATAGGTCCACTCTCTTCCTCGTTCTTGGCTGTAATAAAAATTCAGTAACTTGGTTCTGAATCATTTACACTGTGATTATTTTTTAATCCACACAAGTGTTTCTAGAAGGAACCTGCAGGAAACTGGGACTCCAGCAGGTTGACTTGCCTGAGTGTCACAGCTGATTCGAGGCAAGACAGGAATTTAAGTGCAGGTGCCTCTGACTGAAGCCCGTGACTGTGTCCTCCCGGCCATAGTGACTTTGCTACTGGCAACACTGAAGGGAGTGACCCTCAAAATGAAATTTAAAAAAAAAAGAAAAAAGAAAACAAAGCCAGCCAGAAGGCCCAGGTGGAGCAAACAGCACAGTGTAATGATACCCATGCCCCCTACAGGGTGTGTTCATGCTACACCTTCTGCCCCTATCCCAACCCCGACCCTCCCAGCGGGTGAGAACCTGGCAGACTCTAAACTTCTGGCTCTGCCTTACATTTCTGGGCTCAGATCCAAGCGCGGGCTGAGGATCAGACTTGTTTGTGACCAGTTCTGCTGATCCTCGCCACTTCCCGTTTACTCTTGGTTCCTAGACTCTTTTCGGCGACTTTCCTTTGGCAGCTTTCCTTTTCTTGTCCCCTCTCTTACACACTGATGGCAGGTGATGAAAAAGCACAAACACATAGCTGCCCAATTCCAGTCATTTGAAGCCTAATTTTATAATGATAAACCTCTAGTAATCAAGCGACAGCCCCAACATCATAGCTCTCAAATATCCAGTGTAGGCAACGAACTTGCATGTTATCAACATACTATATTTAGGATGTAACAGAATGGCCCTCCACATCAAAGCCAGTCAAGAAAAAACCTCCCAAACACTTAAGGTTTCAGGGGGAGTTTGTAATTTTCACAAAATTCCACCAGAGGGCACTATGCTCACATCGCCCTGGCCAAGCCTCTCGCTCTCCAATCCCAGTAAACAAGTCTCTCAACAACCGGTTTAAAAGAAGTGGGGGAGGGGAGAGATGGGCAGGAAAAATACAGAAGCAGACAAGTATTGCCCAAGCATCCAGAAAAGGTCCCCTAAGGCTGTTTGTGTCCCGTTAAAATTTGGCATGTGAACGTGAAATAAACAGGGATCCAAATCAACTAATAGGATTGGAGGGGTGAGGGAGGAAGAGCTGTGGACCTACTTGAGGATTTGTTCGGGGGAAAAGTAGTATTAACTAGAGGACACACTCTGATCCAGATAATTTTGTAGTCAGAAGACTAAAGTCCCTAAACTTTGTAATTAGCTTCAATAATGTTCCAATCAATCTAGAGAGCAAAGGTAGATCTGTATATGCATTGAGAATAAAGAACAAACATATCTACTAAAATCCCAGATTCAGCAAACAATGAAACAAGGGACAGTTTATTAGATATGCAAAACGATCTCCAAACAGTCCTTCAAAGAGAACCTGCCTTACAGCATTGTTGTTCTGGTAATTTAGTTAATTCACAAAGAAAATATATATTGAATGTCAGCTCTACAGAAGTCGATGGGTGAGCCTGATGGGTGAGCCCTTACGTGGGATTCAGAGGAAAGCTGGTTGGCCCTGCACTCTGTACTGTCCTCGGTGGCCACTGTAGACATTTTAGTATTTTAGAGGTGGTGGCCCAGGAACACATCACCCACAGACTGAGGAGACAGAGGAAGGGGAACAGAAAAGCATTCCCAAAGGGATGGCACTTTGGAAGCACATTAGGCTGTAAAATACTGTCCTAACGTGGCTTTGGCCAGTTAATACAAGTTATCTAGGTCTCATCTTTTAGAATGATGTGAGGACCTAATTTTAGAATTGTGTGGCTTTAATTTTCTTATTTTCACATGTTGTTGGCTAAATGAACTTGATTCTTCCCAACCTTCCAAGTAGTTTCATATTCCCGACAAGATTTGGGGTACACCTCAAACAGACCCAACCCTTCAATCATAACACACACCTTGGGAAATAGGGTGTTCCCACATTTGAATGCTATCAGCAGGCATTCAGCAGAACCCAAATCAGGCTGTAAGAGATATGACTGAGACTTGAACTTCCAATTTTTTTCTCCTGAGGTGAAAAATATCAATCAAAGAATATGAAGAGCAATTCCTCCATGCTCAGTGTTAGTTACTGAAGTATAACCTACGCTAACTGTATAGAGTGGAATTTCAAAGCTTGGCCAACCACAGCTTCTCCCCAAAATATGATTTAAGAATAGGCTGTGCGTGGTGGCTCAAGCCTGTAATCCCAGCTAGCACTCTGGGAGGCCGAGGCGGGCGGATTGCTCAAGGTCAGGAGTTCGAAACCAGCCTGAGCAAGAGCGAGACCCCGTCTCTACTAAAAATAGAAATTAATTGGTCAACTAAAAATAAATATACAAAAAATTAGCCGGGCATGGTGGCACATGCCTGTAGTCCCAGCTACTCCGGAGGCTGAGGCAGGAGGATTGCTTGAGCCCAGGAGTTTGAGGTTGCTGTGAGCCAGGCTGATGCCACGGTAATCACTCTAGCCTGTGCAACAAAGTGAGACTCTGTCTCAAAAACAAACAAACAACAACAACAACAAAAAAAAACAAACAAAAAAAGAATAATGCCATCAACACAGGTGGGAGGGAGGAAAAAAAAGAAAAGAAATAATACCATCAATTTCCGGAGTTGCTGCTTTTCTTCTTCTTTCTTTTCTTTTCTTTTCTTTTCTGTTTTAGTTTAGGATTCTACTATGGTCTATTCTTTAGGTAAAAACTGGTGTTGGTTTATTAAATAATAATAACAAAAAGATAGTTCACAACTCTGGGTTGGGTCTCAGTTTTATCTCCTTAGCATGATTTAAAGGTTTCATTGGATGCCTGTTGAAATCATTTCTATATAAGAAAAATTCCATTTCCTCAACAGCATGTTAGGGTTGAAGGTTTGGGTCTGTTTAAACTCTACTCTAAAATTTGTATCTAATGAGTGTAAGACAATCAGATAGGCCCTCTCAGATCACCAGGTTAAGGACTTCCCACCTGCAGAGTGAGAATGGATTGTTTAAAAGAGAGAGAAAGCATTGTGAGGAGAACTCACAGGTATAGCCCACCTAAGACAAGATGGGACTATATTGATACATCTTGCTCAGGCTATTTCTGGAAATCTGGAACAAAATCTTTACCTGTAATGTTGCTCTCCCACTCCACCCACCCCTTGGACATAGCAACGCAAAGAGAGAAAAACCTGACTTCAAAGCACATGCAATAGAAGCCCCTGTCCACTTTAAAACTGAGTGTACCTAGAGACAGGAAAGTTCATGGGTTCAAGCATTCTAATGCTCTTTTTATAGTGGGAGTGGAGAAAGGGGGTGGGTGGCAATTTAGAGAAGACAGGGAATGAGAACAAAGGACAGCAGACACAGCGAAGTCAAACTGGATGAAAAGAGGCTGTTCTACTTGTAACTTCTCTAAAACGACAATCTGGGTTTCTGGGGGCGAACCAGTTAAAGGACTTTCTTCTGCTTTTTCTTCCCTCATATATGCTTAAGCTTCCCTGCTCAGTCCTTGGATTTATCTGGGTCCCCAAGTAAATGTGGGGCTGACCGAGGAGGATAAGGCCTCTTGCTCACTCCCGAAAGAGTCCGTGGTCATGCATTGCATTCCTAACCCTTACAAAGCGTGCCCCTGGTCACATGAACGGATCAAAGCGAATCTATTTCCATTCTCAGAAAAGCAGCTCAAAGCACATATTCTCTTGATGGTGCCGCTGTCATTTTTGTGTGGTCAACAAACATCATGTATTGAACACTTACCCCGGACACGATTGGGGGATCGGGAGATAAATAAACCGCTCAAGGAGGTCAAGATACCTAGCAAGGGAAGCAAGTACTCAAAGGGCAGAAATACCATAAGCTTAAAAACTGAGTTTGTGCCTCACTCTTCCACTTTCTATTATGCTTGCCATCCCTGTCGCAGGCGCCCGTGGTGAGAGCAGTAGAAGGCTCCGGTTTATGCTTTGATAGTTTGGCATCTGGAAATTAGTATCTTTTAAAACAAAAACATAATTGTTCTCTTCTATTCCCCCTCTTCAACCATTTAAACTTAAGATTTTGCAGAAAGAAATGAAGCCAACTCACTCTGTTACCAGGCCTAAGCCCATTTTCATAAAACTAGTGGTGGAGCATTATTAACACTGAGTCAGAAAGTTGCACTGAATGAGTTGGTATGGGAAAAGAATACAATCTCTTCAGATTATCTTGGCCTATAATAGCTATAATTACTGTTTTCTAAATATTTACTACCTTTCAGATACTACCCTAATCTTTTTTGCATCTGCTATCACAATTAATCCTTTTATTAAAAGGTAGCTATTATTATCCTTATTGTATAGGCACAGAAACTAAGGCTTCGGCCGGGCGTGGTGGCTCACGCCTATAATCCTAGCACTCTGGGAGGCCGAGGCGGGAGGATTGCTGGAGGTCAGGAATTCGAGACCAGTCTGAGCGAGACCCTGCCTCTACTAAAAATAGAAAGAAATTAATTGGCCAACTAATAATTACAGAGAGAAAAAATTAGCCGGGCATGGTGGCGCATGCCTGTAGTCCCAGCTACTCGGGAGGCTGAGGCAGCAGGATTGCTTGAGCCCAGGAGTTTGAGGTTGCTGTGAGCTAGGCTGACACCATGGCACTCACTCTAGCCTGGGCAACAAAGTGAGACTCTGTCTCAAAAAAAAAAAAAAAAGAAACTAAGGCTTCATGTGGCTAAGTAAATTGGCCAACACAAAGCTGATAAGAGGTAAAATTGGGAATTGAACCTTGGTTTGTCTGGCCTGAAGCCCTGCCTTTAACCACCACGTTATAATGCTTCAACGTGCAGCACTGTAATTTAACAAGGAATCTGCAAGGCACCTTACCCAGTCAAATGTCACCAGTCAGAAACACACCAAAACCCCCATTCGAGGTGAATGCTGCATCTGTCATTTGAAAGCACTACAGTGTTAGTCACTCTTAAAGGAAAGCGATGTTGACCAAGGAAGCCAAGTTATGTGTGTGGTCACAGGCAACATTTCTTTCCCATATTTGCGGTACAAAACATAACCAGAAGAACAAACTTCTTCCCTTTCTCTTCCAATTGCACTGAAAGCATGAATTCTTAGTCTTCAAACAGAAAAACCTCAGTCTCAAAGACTTGGGCTTCTGAAAGATGCAATAAAGAAAGGCTAGACACCATCAGGTGGATTTCAGGCACTAAAAATAGAATGATCAAGTAATAGCACTGATAGCTACATATATATGTGTGTGGGGGGTGTGTGTGTATCTATTTATGTTGTATCTCTTTATATACACATAATTATTGTGCATCTGTTGGCAAACACCCATTTCAAGATTGTGTTCAAATATACATTTTCCCAACCATCACAGCAAGGCTGAGAGAAGAAAGAGGTTTTCTAGTTTTCCAGACTAAAAATAAGCCACACTTAAAAGGCAAAACCAGAGAGAATTCTCGAGGAACCCCGGGCTTCTAAGGGAGTATGCCAAGACTTCAGCTTTCCTTTCAGCCGCCCATGGGGCACAGTTTGCACCCACAACCTCGCATCTGGGGGGCGGCTCCAAGGTCATGCTTTGATGGCCGCTTTATTTTGCAGATGAGCAAACTTGGCCCGGAGAGTCCGAAAGACTTGCCTAAGGTCTGTCACCCGCGATATCAGAGAGGTCTCCAGATTCTGTTTCTACCGCCCTCCAGAATCCTGTCTGTGGAATTAGAGAAACACAGCACTCTGATTTAAAATGTGAAGTCGAAGAGTTCTGTTCACTTCCCCAGACCCACTGCGCGGGCCGGGGAGGGGGCTCTCCCAGGCTTGGGGAACCGAGGCCCGTCTCCCGAGCGGCCGCCGCCCCGGCCCGGGCCAGCCCCCGCGCCCCGCGCTCCCCTTCCAACTAACCCCGAGCGCGCGGGGCAAGCGCGGGGAGGGGGGCTTTCTCACGACAAAAGGCAAAATTCGCTTTCCCTGCTTCCAGAATTGCACAGGGAGCTCTCCCTGCAAAACCATTCGCCGTGAAGGCGGCAGGGGCGCTTTTCTGGGAGCCTCGGGACCTCGGGCTGGGGGACCGCGGGGACGCCACCAGGGGGGTGGGCGGCAGGCGGCAGGCGGAGGCTTCCCTTCCCCGCAGGAACTCGGCCCTCCGCGCGCAGCCAGCGCACCCTCCTGCGCCTCCCCTCCCCCTCCCCCTCCAACCCCCCTCCGCGCCCGGCCCCTCCCCCACGCCCCTTTCTCTTTCTTTCTCTGCCAGACGCGCCCGCCCCCACCCCGGCGGCGCCCGCACGACTCTGCGCCCAATGGCCGCGGGGCCCGGGAGCGCATCAGCCGATCGGCCCGGGCTCCCGGCCGCTGGGAGCCAATCAGGGCGCCGGGGGCGGCCCCGGGCCGCGGATAAAGGGTGCGGGCAGGAGGCGGCCCTGCAGAGCCGAGGATGGGAGAAGCGTGGGGCGTCTGAGCAGCACACCGGCCTCCTCGCCTCTCTCCGCGCCTCGCTCTCGCGGCCCGCCCGCTCGCCGCCTGCTCGCCGACCAGGTAAGCGCCTGGCTCGCCCGACAGCGCCCAGTGGCCCGCGCCCCTCCCGAGCTGCGGCGCCCTGCCTCTCTTTCGGCTCGGTTCGGCCACCCCCCAACCGCGGTCCCCAGGTCTACACTTCGGCCTCCTGGGCCCGGGCCCGGGTCGGGCACGCTCGCGCTTCCCGCGTGCTTGGCCGCCCGGGGTCTCTGCCGTCCCCGTGGGCCCCGGCGGGCGCGCCGCCGCCAGGCTCCGGGAGGCGGGCGGAGTTGTTTTGATCTTTTCGCCACTCGCTGCCCTGAGCGCCGCCCCTGGAGGCCGCCCGACGCCCTGGGCTCGCGGTGGCTTTGGCGCCGAGGGTGGAGTGGCTGCGTCGTCCCCGGCGGGAGCGCACGCGGGACGCTTGGTGGGCTCGAGCCCCGCGCGCCCTTCCTCCGCGGCGGCGCGGCTTGGGGAGTCGTCGGGGTACTGGCCACCTCTTAGGCGCCTGGGTTGAAGCGAGTAGCCGTGGGCGTCGTTGGCGCGCCCGGCTCCGGCCGGGGGTCCCGGCGCCTGCCAGTGTGACCGAACAATGGGGAGCCCGGCCGCGGCGTGGCCGCCAGGGGAGAGGCCGGGCCGCGCCGAGGCAGTAGCCGCGCGCGGCCCTCCCGCGGCCCCCACTCCCCGCCCCACCCCGGCCCTGGGCGGCAGGGAATGGCCCCCTCGGCGAGGCCCTGAGATCCGGGCCCGAGGGGCGGGGCGCCGACTTT